GGAATGTTGTCGCTAAATCTTCAAAGTTTCTAGGGCTTTTAGGCAGGAATAGAGAGAACGAGTGAAAAGGCAATAACACCTCCTCCCCAAAACAACAAGTGGCGTCTGAGACGGTCTGACTGCATAGTCGTGCCCGTCTTGGCCATGCTAATGCTGTGCCCACTCTCGGTCGCCCATATATACTTTAGCTAATGCTTTTTTGTTCGTTTTCTGGTTCGTTTCTTTTAAATGATTTTTATTTGCTTTATTTTCACTTAGTTTTCTATTAAAATACTTTCTAATTTTCAAAATAGTTCAGGAACTAAAAATGTTCGCAGATTCAAAAATATTGAAAAATTGTTAGCGAATTCTAAAAAATGTTAATGAATTTAAAAAATATTCAAAAATTCAAAAATTAATTAGGAATTTGAAAAAAATGATTGTGAATCCAAAACATGCTCAATTTTAAAATGTCCATAATTTAAAATGTTCGCATGTTGAAAAAATGCTCATGAATTTTTAAATGTTCACAAATTCAAAACATTCAAGAATTTAAAAAATGTTCGTGAAGAAAATTTTAATCATTTTTAAAAAAAATACAACATAAAAGAATATTCATGGACTCAGAAAATGTTTGCAAATTTCAAAAAAGAAAAAAAAGAAAAAATAGAACCAGAAGAAAATCCATGCAAGGAAAGAACAAAATGGTTCAGTGAAGGTTCAAGTAGCAGCGCTATCCATGAAGGTTGGTTCCTTCTCTACGCCTAATCGTCCTACTTCGGCTCCTTCACAGGGGGGGCGTAGCCATGTCTCGCTACTAGCGAGGCAAACCGTCCGCTCGCCTGAAGCGACGAAATAATGTGTCGGCCCAGTGGCACTGTTAGCTCGATCGTTTTCTTTTTTCTTTTGTTTAGTTTTTGTTATATTTTCAAAAAATAACTAAATACACATATTTCAAGAAAAATACAAGTTTCTAAAAAATATATAAGCAGTGTTAAAAAATGTTGATGCAACTATAAAAAATGTTTAAACTCCCAAATAATCTAAATAAATATATTGTGAACAACACTTTATATAAAACCATTTCAAAAAATATGTTAACCAAGAATTGAAAATTGTTAAATGAGTCTAGAAAATGTTTGTCATGTATAAAAAATTTGTACATAAAAATAGAAATGTGTACAAAAAAATTGATTATGTATTAAAAACTAATCTTGTATTTGAAAAATGTTAACCAAGCATTTAAAAATGTTAAATGTGTTTAGAATAATGTTGAACATGTATTCAAAAATTTTAATATTATATTTTAAAAATAATAATGAAGAATTTGAAAATGTTAAATGTGTATAAGAAAAATGTTTACCATTTATTCAAAAAATATTAATCTTGTATTAAGAAAATGCTAAAAGTGCATGGAAAAAATGTTCACCATGTATTTAAAAATGTTAAACATTTGCTTGAATTTTTTTATGGGAATACTTGAATTTTTTTAATCAAACATTTTAAAAAGTAAAAAAATAAAGAAAATATTGGCCATGTATTCAAAAAATCTTAATCTTTTATTTAGAAAATCTTGAATGTGTATTAGAAAATTTTATTATATATAGACCGAAAAATAAACAATATGCATGGAAAAAGTAGACATAAAAAATATTTGTTTTCTAAAAATGTTCATCATGTATTTAAAAAATGTGTAATGTGTATATAAACAATGTTTCTAATTATACAAAAATATTAAATGTGTACTGGAAAAGTTAACATGTGTCGAACAAAAAAGAAAAGTGATGAAATTTTTTTTTGCGGGTAGAAAAGTGATGAAAATTGACAAAAGCAAAAAGGAAATGCAAAGAAAATGAAGAATGAAACAAAGAAGACCAAAGTATAACGAAGAACGAAAGAAAACCAGTGAAAAATGAAAGAAAACTAAAATTATAACAAACAAAAAAACGGTGAAGAAAACAGAGGAAAAAACCAAAGAAAGGAACAAATAAAACGAAGAAAATATAAAGGAAAAATCATGAAACCCGATAAATAAACGAATCTAAATGGTGAAAAACAATAAAAGTGGAGAAAAAACAAAGAGAAAGCAGAAAACTGAATAAACCTATTGAAGAAATAGAGAAGACCGAAAGAATAAGAAAAAAATCCAAAATGAACTAGCAAACTGAATGGAACGCAGTGAGCGTAGCAAGTGAGCGAACTAACGGGAAGCGAGTCGAACATACATCTCACTGTAAGCGGGATATAGCCCTGACGCTTTCCCAAAGCCGCCCTAAACCATGACAATGAGTGCAGCTGCCAAGTGCTCGGCCCAACCAGGAGCCCATACCTTGTGATGTGTACTAGTACGTGTATGTTATTCTCTCGGATTGGGTTTATAAGTCGGCACATATTTTTAGGTCCTTATTTTAACTAGGAAAACTTGTCTAAGAAAACTAGGAAAACATGCATTGTATTTCATAAATATATGTTTTTATATTCATTGTCAAATGTAGTTTCTAACCATATAACAAATTTGTGGCATATTATAAATATATTATTAGTCAAACTGAAGACCTAAAAACTTGCATGACTTATAAACCCAACCGAAGGAAGTATTTAAATAAATGTAAACCATAGAAGAAGAAAAACGGACCAATGTGGCATGCCCAACCCATTAAGATAGAGAAAAACCCATGCATGAGAATCATAATTTCTTCGCTCTCTTCAGCAAACCATCGACTCTTATCATAAATTAACCATAAAAGATGAAGAAAACCATTAAAAAAGCTGAGAAACAAATAAAACCAAAAGGAAAATAGTGAAAACGTCAAAAGTAAAGGTAAGCCGCAAAAAATGCACAATCGGGCCACCGCGCGTCATGCGTGCCCTCAACAGGGACACCCTATGTGCTCCCCAAGTTGTTGATATGGATTTCTCGGGATCTTGTACCTTTGCCACGCAAGAGAGGGTTGACATTTCGCGAAATATTAAATTTAGGCCTAAGGGCATCTCCAACACAGACTCCTAAAACGTACACGTTATCCATTCATGGACGTGGACGTGAACGCGGACTGTGATACGGGAGCCGGCTATCCAATTGTGTACCTCAAACTTCTGCATTTTCAAACAGAATTTGAAACAAACTTGGTGATTTTCATTTAAAATAGATCACATTCATTATATTTTTGACATATTTCATTAAAGAAATGCATACGGAAGTTAACCTAGTCTAAATCTTCGCATCGTTGCGGGAGAGGGTATTGGGGTGGGACCGGGGTTTTGGACGCATAGGTGGTCCTTCCATGGATTCTTTAGTCAAGAATTGTCTTAGTTTTTTTATTTTGACCTGATTGAAATTAAGTGGATGCAATGAAAAAAGAAATTTAATTAGACTACTTAACTATTTCAATCTACTAATCTATTCTATGTAGATTCAAAGAGTACGACTACGTGGCGACCTTCGGGAGAGGATGCAGGCGCATAAGAGAGTTTTGGGGTGGGACCAGGCTTTCTCACACGCACATGGCGGCGGTTTAGACGACCACGAAGCTCTCGCCGATTTGCAGAATTTCAGACAACTGGACGCATCCGCTGATAGAAGGGGTACCGTGTTGGATGTCAAAGTGCATCTGGACAGCTTGGTCCGGACGTTTGTGGCCGATTTGAGGGTCCGCATTGAAGATGCCCTAATACCCTTTTTATTATACGACTGAAGTACATATCTCTCCTACTTCAAAAAAAACATAAGGTTTTGTTTTACGATTTCTTTTGTTTCATCTCCTTTCCGGCCCACCCCACCTCCGCTTTCGATTTCGCATGTTTTCCTCGTCAGTCTTCATTCTAAGATGCTCCACATCTTAATGATATGTCTATTTTTAATCACTTTAGCTAGACGTCAGTATTCTGAATTTTAATTCTGGGTCAGTCCATTCCCAAAGAAAGGAACAACGATCATGGAGGCGCGCGGAGCACCGAGGCTGCTGGTCCGCCGGGGAAGCAACGTCTTGGTGTCTATCTTAGGGGTGTGGAGGTGCAGGTTCACGGGTAAAGCAGCGCGTCGGTGTCTATCGTAGAGGTGTGGGGGTATGGGTTCATCGGGGAAGCAGTGTCTCAGTGTCTTAGGGGTGCGGGGGATGTTGACGCCTGAACTGGAGGTTGACGGGCTTAGAGCGATGACCTAGCGCGGCGGCAAGCACGGCAGTGGGAGGAGGTCAAGGTGGCGGAGGCATGTGGTGCAGCCGTGGTCGTTGGCGGTTTGAGGGAAGAAGGTTGAACTGCAAGGTATCGCAATAGTTTTCCTGCGGTTATAGGAAGTTTGAAGTAAATGTTTGAATATGATTGTGATTGGGTGAATTTTCTGTTCTGTAGGTTTGAAAAGGATTCCAAGAAGAGCGTGAACGTAACCAAAGTTATAACTGGTGACTTGGAAAGAAAACCCTCCGTCGTCAAAAGTATGTATCTCGTTCCTGAAGGCATGGTAACGTAACGTAGCCAATGCAGCTACTCACACCCGCAGTAACTTCAAAGCATCAGTTGCCAACTCAACTCAACTGATCAATGCAGCCAAAAACTACCGCTATATGTCCACATGAGCCATGGCCGCAGAATGCTGATCACTGGTCGATCCTGCGGACAGAAGACTGTCAAACTGGAGGCCATGAGCGCCACAACCAACCATGCCACTCTCATCGCTCGAGCCATCGTTTCTCTCGCCATGATCTTCTTCTTCTCCGCCGTCTGCAACTCCGACCCGGACCTCCTCTTCGACCACTGCGTCGCCGACACGGCCGCCGCCGCGGCGTTCCACTTCAACGGCCTGCCGTGCATCGACCCGGCGACGGCGCGCGCCGACCACTTCGCCACCTCGGCGCTCTCCGAGCCCACGGACCCGTCCGCCACGCTCTTCGGCTTCAACGCGACGGTGACCAGCCCGGCCGCGTCCCTCCCCGGCGCGAACGCGCAGGGGCTCGCCATGGCGCGCATCGACCTGGCCCCCGGCGGCATGGCGCCGCTGCACTCCCACCCGCGCGCGTCGGAGGTGGCGCTCGTGCTCTCCGGCGGCGTGCTGGTGGGGTTCGCCGACACGTCGTACCGGCTCTACACGCAGCGGCTGCGCGCCGGCGAGGCGTTCGTGTTCCCGAGGGGCATGGTGCACTTCATGCGCAACGAGGACGTCTCCGCCCCCGCCGTCGTGCTGTCCGGGCTCAACAGCCAGAGCCCCGGCGCGCAGCTCGTGCCCTTGTCGGCGTTCCGGACGGAGCCGCGCCTGCCGGACGAGGTCGTCAAGAAGACGTTCAGGATCACCGGGCAGGACGTGCAGAGGATACAAAGGAGCCTCGGTGGGTCGTAGGGGGGAAGATCGCCTCCGCTTGCATCGATTTAGTACTGTACTCGGCTACTCGGTAGATAATTACTCGTGTGCTACCACAGGAGTCTAAATATTGTACGCAATCATCATGATTTACCTGTCATTTTTATCATTAACGTGATTATTACATATTAAAAATGGGACTGACTAGCGTCCAATTGACTGAAAACAAATTTAGGGCCGTCGATTTGTTCTCATCCGTTTGATGCAGAATCGACGGCCGGATGACCTTCAATCTCCAGCACTCCTTGCGTGGCATTGTACATAAATCATTGTATATAGTTCAAACTCATAAGATGTAACATTATTATCGGAAGCAGCAATTTTTATCAAGCCACGCAAGCAAACTCCATCTTAAGCTTGAACTAGCAGAGTTCATGGGTGTCTACCCTGTCACGGATGCAGTTCGTTGATGCATAAACGTACAACAGCCCTTGTGCATATCATGATGCAAGGACAATGGTGTTACAACAGCTCTTGACGTTGAGAAAAAACAGCTCTTGACAAGATGATTACAGTGGTGACACATTCGTCAAATCATCGAGAAAGAGGCAGCCAAACACCGTGTTGAAAAAATCACTGCCTTTGATGGGGCCCTGGCTTCCTACGAGGGCTTGCGTGTCATATTGGCACGCCCTCGTGCAGTCCGGGCAATACGTCACCTGCATTTCATGGTCAAGTGGTGAGTCGCTAGAACATGTGAGAACAGTACCAAGCAATAAGGCATCACAGTCAAATATATTCCCACAACCTGATGCAGTTATTTCGATGGAACATGTGGAAACATTACTAGGCAGCACGGTTCAAATATGTTCCTCATAACATGAAGCAGTTATTTTGATGGACATGTGAAAACAGTACTAGGCAACCCGGTTCAAATATATTCTCATAACATGAAGATGGACATCCCCGTCTGAACTGTCATGCGGGAGTTCCTGTTATTCATGGATGACAGCAGCTACAAATTGCAGCCTTGTCATGTATTGCTTCACTCGTACACTTAATCAGTTTCCATAATACTAATATCATGCCAAATGGACCAAGGAAATGCTACATCAAGAATATCTGGATTGACATGGTGATATACATATAAGTGTTTTTCTAGCTCGAATGGAACAAGCACTAAGCCATAACCATGCACCGGATCACCCTAACTGATATGCACAGGCCTAAACAGGTTTGATTACCAATGTGCATGGGCTGCAGTTATACAAAGTAGTCGAGGCATACCTCCAAAATCTTTGGCTTGAATTTATCATCAAGCATAACATCAACACCATAGATGGCCCGACAGAATGAGTTCTGCATCTCAGGATGGACAGCTGAGGCTGACTCAAAGACACGCCTTATCATAATACGTATGCTTTCATGAATCTCCAGCCATTTAACTGAAATTTTAACAGTAAATTAGAAACCTAAGACATCGCTACACTAAAGAGGGGGAATGCAAGCTGTTGTAAACCTTGGTGCTCCTTCTCAAACGCCTTGACGAACTCTGGAGTATTCATATGGTTCATCCTTCCATTATAGTTCTGGATGGGAAGAGAAATTAGGGAGCTAGATTACACTCTTAAACATTTATTACCAAGAAAAGTTTACGGCTGGTCACTATATGAGCATACAGCTAGAGCCTATAAGATATAACAGGAGATAAAATAGAACATCAACAAGCTTCTGCACAACTGACATTCATGATGTGATATTATGAAGTAACACATCTAACTTCAGGTGAAATTTGATCTTACCATCACAGTGAAATGGGTCTCGTACTCAAAAAGGCTAGTTTTCTCCAAAGTGTACTGATTGTTTGCTAACCTGACCTACAATAAGGAAAAGATAGATGCACAATAGTCACTGGATATCATCATCAAGTAATGGCCACAGACATTCACTAAGTATCATTAAACTTTCAGGCATACCCAAAAAACATCACAAAGAAGTATATCCAAAGGGCATATACTGCGGACCAAAACAATGTACCGAAGATCAAACTTTCTTCCTTGGAAAAGCGCAGGACACTCAATATACTTTTGGCATATCTTGGGACCCGTCTCCATAAGTCGGATGATAGCAGATAGATCACCACTGACAGTGGTATCAATTGTTCTTGCCATATTCCAAGGCTTCATGATCCATAAGTTGTCCTTACCATCCCGTTTCCTCACAGAGTAATCGCCAATTAGTTGAGACAAATGGGTCTCTAGGTTATATGTAGGTTGAAGCCACTCAGGTGAGCCCCATGCCTGTAGGAGTTCATTTTAGTTTTCAGATGCCGCTAACATTAAAGGTACTGAATTCAAAACAGTAAAGCTATGCCAGATGTTTCTTCAAAAAGAAGGTGTACACCAAACAGCTCAGTAGCTCACCCTGTGGATAGTATCCGCTAAGTGGTGCTTCATGACCAGACAAGCCTCAAAAGGAAACTGATTCATGTATTGTTGGTCTGTGAGACCTAGTGAACTCTTTAATTCAGAATCAATTTGCATGCCTGCCCAGATGATGTCTGCATCCTTCGGATCAGTTGCTGCAGGAAAACAAGTTAGATGTAAACGAGGAGCTAATTTCCTTTGAAGCATACGTTGCAGAAATAAAGGAATACACTATGAATCGCCATGACTGTACAAGCATATTAAAGGAGCCAATAAAACCAGGTGGCATACAAATAATGTCTTATTAGAAGAGTATGCTAAAAATTAGCACAACTTCAGTTCTGTTCAGTTCACTGACAAATATTACAAGATATTATTCATCAAGCCATAACCATAATTTACAACTTAAATAGTAAACTATTAACTATATGATAGCAGAGTGCTATCATGGGGTGTACACGAAATTAGCAAAAGGATATAATATTTATTTATCCTTCTGTAAAACAAAAAGGTATCATGACATGATTTTCATGTTCTGTCTTTGCTTTCCACATGAACAAATATTCCAACAAAAGGAGGACAAGTGATGAAAGGAGGGAAAGGAAATGGACTGTGGGAATCACAGGGCAAAACTTATAAGGAACAATAGCCAGGGTGCATCCCCATCAAAAAAACAGTCAATCCTGAAAAAATAGTTACAGAAAAATAATAAAGCAGGAGCTTTGCTTACTGAGAACAAACTCTGGACGTGTTAAGAACTCCTCTACTTGGGGTATATCAGTAAATACTCGAAGTGGACGGCCATCACTTGGACGTACACTTTTGGTTGAGGGCGCCTCTTTTATAGGACAAATACTAGTTGACTGAAGCTGCTCCTCATACTTCCTGAATTCCTATGAAGTAGCCAGAAAGCAAGAGAGAACATAAGACTAATTCATTGGGGTTCATGTACAGCTCAAACCAGTCAGTACTGGCATGGAAAAAAGTACCTGAATAAAATATTTCTCTGGTGTGTGGAACCAGGCTGTAAGCCTAGCTGAGCGTTGTTTGTCTTCGCCAATACCAAACAAGAAATCCCGGGTACATTCTTCTCCAGTATGAACATCACAAATAGGCCACAGAATTGTGTAACTGAAAATATTGGATATTAACAAACTAAATAATGATAGAATGTTCCTACAATTCAAATGTCAATACCTTATAGCAGAAGCTAATTTTCCTTCTGGCATGAACAAAAAAGGAGATATCCTAAAGTTTGCATCATCACTATGGCGCATGGCTGAGCCCAACTCATCCATGACATACCTGCATAAATAACCAATCACGAAACATATAACACAGTAAAACAAGCAAATGTGTTTCATGTCCTAGTAGAATGTTTCTCAATGTCCAAAAGTGAAAGCAAACATATTTCCTGGATGATCTAACTGGATGGATTTAGTATTACATAAAACCCTACTCTAGCAGTAGGTGTTAGTCAAGGTCATAATGTTAACATGATTCTTTTTGCACGAACTCTTGCAGGGATTTAACTACACAGTAACTAAATTTACACCAACCACTCGTCCAGAAGGGATGAAAAAATATTGCAGCAATGGCATACCAAATGGGTGTTTCATCAAACTTTTCTTCATCGGCAAGCCGGTATGTCATAAGATACAGCCACATTGCACCAATAACTCTTTCAGCCAGGGATTCTTCAGGTGACCATTCTGGAACACGTGGTTTAAGTGCAGAGTCCACTACATGCTTAGCGTTCTCGACTATAGTTAACGCATTGACACCATTCAGCAAATTTATATTGGGAAGAGACTCAATAATGGTAATTGCACTGTCTCCAAGAGGGCCAGGAATGTCTACCTGTCAAAAGATAATCATTTTCCATGTAGAAGTTGATAACACTCATCCTAGTCTAGAAACAAGACGAGAACTAAAGATAACAACAAATTTCTGAGAAAATATGAAGTTTCGACAATGATACCTCCAACTCCTGTAACTGTGTAAACCCACTAAATAACTTAAAGAGATCATTGCCAGACATTTGGTCCAAAGGATTGCCACGGATGTTCAAATTTGAAAGAGATGACAGTTTACTAGAGGAGAACACCTTCAAAATTAAAAATGTAGAGAGGAAAATTGTCAGTGGAGCGGTTCACCTTTTCTGAGTGTACTGTTCTGACAAAATGATAGCTTAAACTAGGGAAAATGATACGGGTAACCTTTTTGTGACGTCGTGTTTTAAAATTATAGAGAACCAATTGTGGGCATTAGGTATCTTACCTCAGGTAGTTTGTGGATGGACCTATCAGAAAGGTCAAGAGTCACAATATTATCCAATGATATGTTTCCCACAGACAAACAGGGATTTTCTGCTCCAACCATATCCCCACAGAAACCTAAAGCCCACTCTCTAGCTTTCCTTGTAAAATGTGAATTGTAGATTTCCAATTCAGGAAGACCATCAAGAACATCTTTCTCAGTGCTGTCAACATCAAGAAAATATTACAATGACATAACAGGACTTTACAACAATATTACCTGAAATAGACATCACATATAAGTTCTGAAATATTTCAGCTAGTCAGAGTTTTGTTCACTTGCTATTTGTTAAAG